CATAAAGTTAAAAAAAACACACACACACATAGAATTTTATAATCCAGAAATGTGGATTTGAAACATAATTTTCACTCACATAATTCTTTTTTGGCTCATGTTTTCTATATTATTATTATTATTTTAGATGCAAAAGTCAGGTGGTTTTGCTTTGGGATGTTTTATCTTTTCAAGCAGAGCAGTATCCAAAAGCAATCTAGGAACATTGAATGTTGAAAATACTTAAAATTTTAGGACTAATAACTAACATTCACTTGCAAAGTGCTGTTAAAATTGAGTGCAGTTCAGAACAGGATATAAACATATAAACATGGCTCTGCCTCCCACTAGTTTAGAGACCTTTTGTGGGCCATGTATTTCACACTATACTCCCTCATTTTTTTATTGTTTTTTTTTTTTCCCTCCTCTTCCATCCCTGCAGTTATTACTACTTGCAATTCCAACAAGTGTCAGGTCATACAGCAAAAGCATTTTCTAATTTCTATTTATTTATTTTTTAATGTAACACAGACAATACAAATCCAATTTTTATGAACTGATAAAACATGCTTTAAAAAGCACAATCTGAGATAACCTGCGGTAGGAACTGTCTGGGGAACAATCTAGAAGTTTCATTATTTATCCTATGACATATATTGTTTCTGTGCATATTAAAATTTGATAAGTAACTACCTCCCAATCCCACCTCCAAATTCTGTAGTATATAGAAAGTGAACAGGAAAGGATTATGATGGCATTTTCTTGAAGGATAATAAATTATTTAAAAGACAAAGACAAAATATTATTTTTCTCAGTAATAAAACAGTACTGAAACAATTATTGGTAAATGAACATTCCAAGCAAATACGGCTTTGTCTTGGTACACTCATCAAAAATATCAGTAAACTAATACTATAGCTATGTAGTACATAGTGTAATAGGAATTAGGCTGTTTATTTTCTCACACAAAAGTAGTGATAAAGGACTTATCACAAAAATATACAGAGAACTGATGAAACTCAACAAAAATAAAGTAAACAATCCCATCAAAAAATGGGCAGAAAAGCTAAAAAGACAATTCTCCAAAGAGGAAATGCAGATGGCCAACAAGCATATGAAAAAATGTTCAACATCACTCGTAATAAGGGAGATGCAAATTAAAACCACAATGAGATACCACCTCACTCCAGTGAGAAAGGCACATCTTCAAACAACTAGCAACAATAAATGTTGACGAGGATGTGGAGAAAAAGGAACTCTCCTGCACTGCTGGTGGGAATGCAAACTAGTACAACCACTATGGAAAACTGTTTGGAGGTTCCTAAAACTGCTAAACATGGAGCTTCCCTACGACCCAGCAGTCCCACTCCTAGGTATCTACCCAAAAGACACAAAAACACTGATTGAAAAGATACCTGCACCCCCATGTTTATTGCCGCTTTATTTACAATTGGAAAAACATGGAAGCAGCCCAAATGCCCAAAAGTAGATGACTGGATTAGAAAGATGTGGTACATATATACAATGGAATATTACTCAGCAACCAAAGAAGAGAAACACATGTCTTTTGCAGCAACTTGGATGGAGTTGGAAAAGATCATGCTTAGTGAGATAAGCCAGAAAGAGAAAGAAAAATATCGGATGGTTTCACTCATAGCAGGAGTACAATGGATCAGGTGAGAAAATAATAAGAATAATGAACAGCCATATTCCAGAGACATTTTGCGGGGGTGGAGTGGAGAATGGGATCAAAAATGGGGGTGGGGGTGGGGAGGGAAGTGCACGGGATTATGGTGATGGCACATGGGTGACTTGGTGATGAGAAACCCACGGGGACTACAATTGAGATGGAAAAAAAATGTAAAAATGTAAAATAAACTGTTATAAAAAAATAGGCTGTTTAGCTAGACTAAAATATTATGGTTCAAGTGATGGTTAGCAGATTATATAAGACCAGGTCATGAATACATAGTCTTATGAAAATAACAGTAAATAATAAAAATTTGCTTTCTCATATCCTAGTTTCAGAGCGTGATGAATGCATTTTTTTTCTAGTGCCTCATAAAGTTTAGACTACAAAGACATATTAACTCAGTATATGTTTTTTGAATGGATATGAAAGTGAATACCTGAAAAATATATGGGTGTTTTGGAAAGAATACACATATCTAAAACAAAATCACCTAAGGGGTTTAAAAATAATATTTAACTATGTGTAGTTCTAAAAGACAAGAAAAAATAATGATATAAATTCTCTTAAAAACCACCTGATTGACCTTATCAATGTACCCAGAAATTTAAAGTAAGTTTTTAATGTTTTTATAAGCAATAACTCAAGACATATTTCCATAATTGTACAAATTTTCTATTTCTAACACAAGTCAGAAAGAGAAAATGATGTTCTAGGATTTTAATGAATCAGTCAGTGTTTAAGGTGGTGGTTATTTATTATTTGAAAAAATTCTGGGTGAGGAAATAAAGGTCAGAAAAAAGTGAAAATGAAATAACAGGTATTGTTCAACTGTATTTACTACACTCACCCATTAAAGCCAGAATCAGTTATAAACACTGTAGTGTTATCAACAAATTTAATGCTGAATGTGTAAATTTAAAATGACAATTTCAATTTTCATTTCATTAAGACAATGAAATTTAGTTATAAATAGTGTGTGTGTATCACCTGAGAGATTAAAGGACTACCTTGCTCATTATAAGTAAATTTAAGTAAAGTACTGAAATGTTTCATTTGAAGGGCTGAATATAAATAAGAGAATTAAGTGGCAAGGGAAATTAATAATATTCAAATACAGAAAATTTGGTACATGATTAGATTTCCTGAGACTCCTAGATATCATTTCCCTTTAAGAAAACAATAAGCATTTTCTTTTTGAAAACTAACTTAGAAAATATGTTGCTATTAAAAATACAGAAATAATACAGAGTTTTTGAATAACAATGGTGCATTTTCAGTTTTCTTCTTGTTATAAGCAAGATTTCTTCATCTAACAAACTTGTTTTTACCTTTACTGCATTTCTCTGAGTTTATCATTATCCTCATATAAAAGCAAAATGATTGCTACAATAATAAATTATAATAGTGCCCTTAAAAGTAAAAAATATTTAATCATTCTACTTACATTGATAAATTTAATCTCAGTCAAGGTCCTTTCTACTGAGGTTATTTCTTCCTATAATCACTTCCTATAGTAATTCTTATATATTTAAAGTTCATTCATACTTTGAAAGACAGATACACAGTGTTAAGTAGTTAATAATCTGGGACAAATAAAAGTGAAAACTCAAGACATGAAATATTAATAAGGTGATTCTCAGAGAAAATTTTCCAAAAGTATGTCCTTATGTTTTATTGAAACAAGTCAATCACTGATGTTCACAAACATAATTTGCCAAACAGAAACCCTGAAGCAAACATGTGACATCACCTCTCTACTGTTCTGCAATTTCTGCTATAAATCTGAACCTTGAAAGCTTTTTCTGACCACAATCCCACAAATGTACTTCCTAACAGTCAAATAAAAATGATTCCTGGAATGATTTGTAGCAAATAAAATATAAACAATTTACATTTTCCTGTATCTGTTTAAACCTTAATTAGAATTTCATTAGTTGATCAAAACTGTATAATATAAATGTGCCATTTCTACTCTCTGCAATTCTCTTTGCACATGTTGCTCTCTCTATATATATTGGTATACATATGTTGCTATATATATATATCTCACTTTATAAATTCATAAAACAAAATAAAAATTCTAGATATTCTAGATAATCTCATTTAGATTAAAAAAATGTATACAGGTCATATAAGAATTCATAAGATGCTTGAAAAATGAAACATTTTACCACAATTCTGTCAGGGCCTATCATAGAGAAGTCATATTACTAGTTTCTAAATCACTTTTCCTTTCAATTCACAGCTTGCGAAGCCGCCCCTATACATTGCACCTAATAATATCACATTATGGATTCCCATGGTTAAAATGACCTCTGACAAAACATTTAGTGAACCTATAGAAAAGTTCAGCTATCTAAACACAATAAAATTCTGCAGCTCCCATTTCCAATGGAATTTTGTCAAAGTCTTTTAGTAAATACGGTTTCTAAATACCACCAAACTCTTCGACCACATTTCTCCAGCAATCCATGTGCAAGCTATGGTTGGCAACAAGATGCTTTCCAGACTCTCCCATGGCATCTTTGAATATGCTGCTCCATGGCAGCTCATCCCCGTTGAAAGCTACTTCCCATGAGACTTTTTCATAATAACTAGTTTTCCTTCTTTTTAGAAGTTTCTAATGTGCTTACCTCCGACTCAAATAAAGGGTATACTATTTTACAGAAACTATGTTTTGATCATCTCATGTGTAATTTAGTGTAGCATTTCAGCTAAGTGCTCAAAAAGCATTTAACTGGAAAATTTGCAAGCTAGTAAATTAGCATTATTATCATCACCCAGTCAATATTTAAGCATAGGATTGTATTCATCTATTTCTTTTAAAAAAGTTGCCTAAAATTAAAGAAAAGGAGAATATAAATTAAAGTGCCTTCATCTATTGAAAGAAGGTGCTGAAGACATTGGAGTATCTATTGAAAGAAAGTGCTGAAGACATTGGAGTTACAAATATTCATTGTGTATTTTGTACTTGCACATGTGGAACCACTTCTGAGATGGAGAAGGCGATTTTAATTTTCTTGAAATGTCAGTGTTAACACATTGCTAATGAATACATGGCATATGTAAACCCCCCCTTCTTTGATGTGAATTTTAAAATAGTTGTTTTCATAACCCAAAATGTTAACATTTTAGTTTTCTTAACACACTTTCCAATGGAATGTATGTGTTGCCCACATTGCAATACTTATAGGCAATCTGGACCCTTCATTGTATCAGCCAGCCTCTGTGGCATGAAGCCAAGTCCCACTTTGGGCTCTCACTTGTCTTCCTTCTGAAATGACTGTGGTCATTCTTTGGCAGTAACCTTGTCTCAACCCACAGTTACCTGAATCCATGGCCATCTGTCATTTTCTGCAGCCGTCCAGGCATTTATAAGTCCCTTCTTATTAAGACGTGCATAGTAGGGGTACCATTTCTGGAGTCCAAAGAGAGCTCGGTGGGTAGATGAAGCTGTGATCTGCTGATTTGATATGATTCCTCCTTCAATTCCCAGTGGACCTGAACATTCTGGGAATAAACCATGAAGAAATGTGAATATATATATGAAATAATCCATATTCAAAATGTAACTTAAATTTGACAGGAGATAGTTTTTAAATGATCTTAATTTGACCACTGTGCCATTTAAGCTTCCCCTAACTTGACAAATCTGATGATGGTCACTACATTAAGGAATACTTCTTGCTCCTCCTGATATTCTTTTTCTTGTGTTTTGAATGTGTCATCTATTGAATGGATACTTTTCTTATGCATTCCAATTTCATATTTTGCATTCTTATCTTTTGGCTTTGATTATGACAACAAAAGTGCAATGCTCTTAAAAGGCCATACCTGGACTTTTGTATTATATTTCCAAAGAATAGAATGCCACATAAATCCTAAATCTCAATAAAACATCTAATGATTGATTATTTCATCACATCTAAGTTTTGTATTAAACTTATTTTCATATAGACTTAGCATTTCTTAGTACTATAAAATTTTCAACTTAAACTTTTATAATTACTGTCAGTAATACTTCCATTAAAAGGGCAATGAATAAATCTGTTATCATTTAAATGTAATAGAAACTTGTGGTTGTAATTAGTAGAAAATATGTTTACAAATTAATTTCATAAGTAAGTAGATAAACTATGCCACTATAAATAGTTGTAAGTATACCACTCCATAAAAATTTAAAATATTTATATTTCTAAAATTTTTTGTAACTCAGCATAAAGGTATTATGGTCTTAACACTTTTGTTGTTGTTTTGTTTTAAATTTGTGACTTAAAAATTTTAATGTTTCTTAATAGCAATCTAAAATTTAGGAAATGGTATGTTCCTACACCAAATGTGTTTCCACTCAGCAATATAAAATGGAGATAAATCTATAGTAAAACTGTATATCTATGTTATATTTAATTCAGTTTTGAAAAATCAAATAAACAGTACTATAATTAAAATATTTATTTAAAATTTCATAAACTATACTCAACTTTTTTTTTGCCAAATTTGATTTTTATAATTATTAAAATCCTTTTTAAGTAACTACAATTTTTCAAAGTTCCTGAAAATATACAGGAGCACATTGCTATTATTAAAAGTGAGATTTTGTGTCAGATCAGTGATTGACATAGTATAGTTTAGGTTTTTAATATAAATAGCTATTGAAATTTAGCATTTGTCAGTGACTCAGGGTTTTTACATAGATTAAGTTTGAAAATATTAAAGGATTTTGCATTGTATTATAATAGTTAAAAAGAAAGCTTAAAGGTTTCTTACTAATAATTTCTTATTCATTAAGCATAAATGTGTTTCTTTTTTCTATTCCTAGCTCATATAATAACTAGTTCTAAACACAACACTAAAATTTCTCCAATGACTTTAAGATAGTTAACATTTTTTATTAAAGGGTGAAATATGTAGACAGGAAAATATCTCAATATAATTGTTAGCAAAGGAATTAATACAGCAGAAGTTACATCTCTGTCATTTAAACTGACAAATCATTCATATGATAGATTAAATTTACAAAATCAGACAACTTCAAAACACAAAACTAGAACTGTTTAGCACTTTATGAAAGTGCCCATATTACTTTGAAGTCAATAAAATACAAGTCATGTTACAATTATAGTGTTAAGGAGTCACATTCTATACACATTCTATAAAAATGAACACTGTCAACTCAAATGTTGAGTCTTTGGATTCTTGTTTTGCTTTCCATGTTAAACTTCAGCATTTTTTTACATAATTCATTAAAGCATTAAGACCATTTGTGATGACACTTTGATTTTTAAACAGCAGCATGGAACTTTTTTTTTTTTTTTTTAAGAATATAGCATGAAAGAGGCTCAAGTTCTTGTCTGGGATTTGTGCCATTCTGAGATGTGAAAATGCAGCAGGCAGAGATGCCACTGATTGCAGGTCAGTTAGTGAAATGGCAGTGCGAGAGCCAGCTCTGAGCAATTAAACTGCATGATTGCCTCAGAAAGAACTCTGTGTCATTTAGTTGTATACTTATAAAGATCTTAGGCTGACCTGGCCATCTAACTGAATTTGTAACCAGTTTAGAAGAGAGAGAGATTAGATCTCAACTCACACTGTGGTAAACTACCAGCTTCTACTCATTTGCAAACGTACCAGGGAGCATATTTACTATGAACAGCTATGTTATGTTATCATATATGCCAGACACCAATGAGCGATTTTAAAGTTATATTTGGGTATCTTTCTTTGTGCCATTTAAGGCTTCCAATGTTTGGAATGTCCTCACTAATCATTCCTTCAAACAAAACCTAATAATTCAAAAAATAATACACTGACATGCTGTATTTGTACAGAACTTCATGGTTGTCCAAGTATTTTCTCAAGAACTATCTCCTAGTTGTGATGTCAAGTTAATGAAAATTTCTTTACTCAGTCTTAAATTGCAAATGACATTTGGTAACACTTTTACAGAATTCACAAAAATACACTGTGGCTGATCAGTAAAGTCCAGCTGAGGAAACATGATGGTGGGGGGTTCTAGAATGTATCTGCTTACTTCCTTAGTGACTAATGGTTTTCAATTTTATTTATTTATTTTTTAATTGGGGTTATGATGACACCTAACACATTCTATGATGTAATCAAAAGTAAAAAAAAAAAAAGTACTTTGTCTTTTTAATTGTAAATTGTTAAAAACAATATTGAGCTCAATTCTGCAAGGTCATAGGCACATTTCCTCAGAGCCATCCCATGAGGTGATCCAATGTTGCCGCAGATGTTGGCTATTTCAGTGATGCATTCTAGCTGTTTGTGGTGGTTTGTACTGGGAGATCTCTATGATATGTGCTGAATGTTGGTGGTAGGGGCTTTCTATTTTTTTTCTACACAGTAAACTAAAGAGCCAATCTAGGTCATATCTTTTATTTCATAGTGGAAAGTTGTCACAACAGCAGCTTTTCTTCACTAATCATTTGGACCACAGTCAAAGGGATGCCATCATAATAAAAAAAAAAATCAAAATCCAATTTCATTTTGCCTGTGCCATCCACTTCCCCAATGTCCTATTAAATTTAACAATTATAAAAAAAACCAAAGGAGTTGCAATTCAGTATGCAAATGATTATACACCTAAGATTAAGTGACCTTAAGCAATAAAGGACATGTTTATAAGACAGATACTATGAAGCTCTACATTCCAATCACTAACCATCAGTGTTGGAAGTAATATGAAAGACTACTGTGAACAAAACGATCCTGAGTGAGCATTCTGCAGTCTGAAAAGTGCATCCATATGTGTTTTTTGAACATAATTAAAATAATATACTTAAAGAAAAATGATTAACATGCTTATTTCATAAGTTAAGAACTTGTTATGAGAGCAGTTAAACTCATAAAAGATGAGTCTGGGATTTAAGAATCAAGGTTCTGCTTTACAATTAGAAAATAGTATCAACTGATAAAATGAAGAGTTTCAGAAAGTCTTCAAATGTTGATTCTGGAACTTTTCTCCTGCTACTATTTTATATGGGGGTGAATATTTAAGAGGAGAGCAGAATTTACCTAACATGTAGGTTAGCACTAGTGGCATTCAGAATAGAGAAGAGCTGTTAAAAAATGGTATCCAGTAAAACAATAGGTGACAGACTATGCTAGTGAGTCACAGAAGAGATTTTATGGTGGCCTGTGTTCCCTCAGTTAAGAAATTAACCTGCTACCATTCTTGGTCGATATGTGTAACATGGGCAGACTAATTCAACCCCAGGTAACTTAATGATCTCTTTCTGTGCACTAATCCATCCATCCAGCTGTTTATCCATACATCCATCTATTCTGCACTCAAACATTTCTGTTTATAGTTTTGAAAAACATGTATTTATCAAAGCCCTCCCACATAGCAGACATTTTTCTAGGGCGTGATACTACAGGAATGAAAAAGGAAGAATAAGTTTCAGTTCTCAGAGTTCATATTTAGCGGAAAGACTGACACTTAAAGAAATAAGAAAATACCATAAAGTCATAAATGAAGAAATACAGAAAGGATGTAGCCCAATATTTGCTCAAACGCAAGAAAACCCAACAGTATATCTGACTGCCAAAATAGTGTTTTGGTCTTGCTGTCACCAGGCTTAGCAATAATTCAAAATTAATGATCCAATCAACATCTATTATCAGAAGCTTTTAGGTACCATTTACATACTCAGTTAAAATAACTGCTTTGTCTGAATTGGCTAAGTGGCCTGGAAATGCCTTCTGACCTGAGACCTATTGCTGAGCAAGTAAGTGGTGTCACCTGCAGGAAGAGCGAGAGCAGCAGGGTCAGCTGGGACCAAGCCTCAGAGCCCTCCTGAGTGACTTCTCCACCTTTGCCAAGTCGGTGCGAGCATAAGATCTTCAAGCGAAGTCTTTCTCACTCTGCAAACTCAGTGTCTGGAGTGTGGCAAAGATTGGTGTCTGCATTTTATGGATCTTGCAGCTGACAAGTAAGCAGTGCCTCAAGATGTCTCACATCTTGTTCCTGAGCGTGCTGATTAAGCCTTTCAAATAAGTGCGATGCATGGCTGAGTCCGTAACAGGAATGTACCGCTTTCATTTGCTCTATCTCAATACCCAGACATCTCCAGAATGAAAGGATTTCAAATTAAATCCATGTAAGAAACAAATCTCCTTCAGACATCTCATCCTTGTCTCCTCACAGGAGTGTGAGTCCTCTGCTGTGCTTAGCATAGCACGGTAATTGCGCTGAACACAAACGCTGGCAAGTGGGTTACTAATGACCTCCAATACTGCGGGAATTAATGCTGATTCAAGCATAAACTGTTCTCTGTGCCACTTGGACCATAGCCTTCCCTTTATTTCTAGTACTTATATAGAAGTGTCCTGAAGCCAGACTCAACTGGTGAGGGAGAGATCCAGGGGCACTCTCCCTCACCCTATGACCTCATGTTAAAAGTAGCCATAGAGATTTTTTGTTTCTAGTGAATTTTGTTACCTAAACCTGCACATCCTTACTGATTTCTCTCAAACTATCATTTTTC